AAAATATAGAAATTTCTCTTATGCTCAATGGTGCTCTAAATTTAAAATATTTGTTGAATCAAGAAATATCGACTTATGAAAAGTTATTGATTGTGTTTATATTGTACCCACATTGGAGAAATCCAAGTGGTGCAATTATTATAAGAAAATGTTTACAATGAACAAGTTAGTGTTAGAATTATTGCATAATGCTTTTGAACCATGTATTTCTAACGAACTTGCTCATTTTGATAGTGCTTACACGATTTAGAAACTTTTTGAAGTACATCAAGGATTTGGAGGAGATTCGACGCGTTGTGGAAGAATCGACTTCAAGTGATAGAGGAGCATCATGCACACGGCCATTAGGGGATAACCCTAGTGTGGTAAGCGATTCGGAATCTGATGATGATCTATCTATTAATGAACTCGCTTGTGCATATGAGAGATTATCACATGCCTATACAAAATTACAAAATAATTTTATTGATCTTAAAAGCAAGTATATTAGTTTAAAATCCGATCATGAGTTGTTAGCCTCTAAACTTGATGTCAAAACTAAGGAGAATGCTACACTTATAGAAAACAATGACATGCTAAGTTTAGAAAATGAAAAATTGACTTCATCTATTGCTAGCTTAACTCATGCTAATAATAATACCATGATAGAAGTAGAAATAATTAGAAATAAGTTTAATTCATTTAAATATGATCATGTTTCATCTACTTCTATTTCCAATACATGTATGCAAAATGATGAGTTGAGTCAAGTTAAACATCGCATATATTGTTTAGATTCAACCTTAAAAACATGTATGGCAAATAACAAAAAGCTTATGGACTTGTGTGCAAAGTCCTGTGTTAACACTTCTAAATAAAACACTCACTATGCATACTTATATAGCAAAGTTTATAAATGCTCAATTTGTGGTCGTAAAGGCCACATTGCTAAATTTTGCTATGATGCACACAAACCTAAGATCGCTAATACTCCTAGTGCATCCCATCTAGCTTCATCATCTTATACACATACACATTCACATGCTCATTCTCACAAAGTTCATCATAAGCATGCTAATGTGAATCATTGTGATTATTGTGGTAGAGTTGGTCACTTAGCTAAGTTTTGTTTTGATTTGCGAAAAATTTCTAAATCGCAAAATATTTTAAGTAGACCAACATTGTTTCAAAATATTTTACATTTACAAAATAATCTTAAAAGACCATCTATGTTTGCAAATGTTACTCTAATGGTTCACAAAAAACAAATAGATCTCTTTCATTGCACAAATTGCAATCGAAAGGGTCATTTGAGTGATTATTTCTTTGACCGTGTTAGTGCACCACATGTGCCCAAACGAGTTCATAACCCTAGGGCTTTAAGCTTAAATGATAGGGGTCATGTCACTAAATCTTTTGGTACCAAGAATACTTGGGTACCAAAACAAATTTGATTCTTAAACCAAGAATTTTAATATTTTTATTTCTCTTGGTTTTGAAAATTATGCTTTGAAATTTTTGAATATGAAAACAATTTTTATTGATCAATTTATTTGTTTTCATGATTATTAGTTTCGCTTTTGATGAGAGGTTTGTGTTTACATACCCGATTTATAGGGTGTTTATTCCCAAATCTTGTTTACCGGGTGCTTAAATGTTTATATGAGTTGTTACTAGCTCAAGAGGTAGATATAGTTGCCTCTCTTGATTTTTAAAAATCAATGATGGTTTGGTTTTATACTCTTAAAAATAATTTTTTTTTAAAATCCATAGTTCATGATTCTTGTACTTTTGAACTATGAAAATTTTGCTTTGATTTGTTTTTTTGAATTCATTATATAAGCACAAATAGATGATTCAAATTTTAAATATGCATTATAATGTATTCTTTATGTGGTTTGATCAAGTTTTACAAAGAAAATTTCCTTTATTGATCAAGTATTATTTTTGAGTTTAAAATTTGATTTATGATTTCATTTGGTTGACTTATTTTCATTTGAAAATATTTTACATGATTCTCATATTCCTTTTCTTTTGATTTCATAAATCTACTCTTATACATGGTTTTTTATGTTTTTTGATATGAGACACAATGTTCCTCTTAATATATTTATATATGTTCTCATTATCTCTTGTATGTGAGTGATATTTAGCATATTTTTTATTTATGCTTGCTCACATATTTACCATGATCTTTTATTTCATATACTCCATATGACATTTTGATAAGGGGAGCAATCCCTATATTTGTTTTATACTCACCCATGCTCATATGTAGGGGGAGCTTTCGCTCTCTTCATTCTTTTGTTTTTCCCTTGTTGATATTATCAAAGGGGGAGAAATATTATGAGTACATTCTTTTTTGTTTATATGCATGATATATTATACTTTGTATATTCATTTTCTTTCATGCATATATATTTTTTATAAATTGTTTGTTATCATCAAAAAGGAGGAGACTGTTGGCCTTCTTGTTTTGATGATGATTTACAAATAATTTATATCTAATATTGTTTGTCTAGTGTTTGTCGTATTTATTCTAGACAAACATCGAGTTGGAGGATGGATGGATTTTCGCATTCACGACCATATCCAATGGAGGTTGGCGAAATTGTGGAGTGAAGCCTATGCAATTCAAATTGAAGATCCAAGTTCAAACTTCATCCGTAAAGTGTACCAAGTCAAGCTTATTAAAGATCAAGAATGCTTGGGTAATTTAGTTTAGGTTATATATTATGTGTGTTAGTTTTTTAAGCTCATTCATATACACACATACACGTTTTGGTTTTGTATATAGTTATATATATACATATATGTTTTGGTTTGATAGTTTTCAAGTTTTAATATGAAACAATTGAATATAATTGGAAAATATATTTTTGTTTCATACTTACATGCATATATATGATTTCATCAATATCAATTTTATTTAGTTCAATGAAATCATATTTACTTTTGAAATGTTTGTAAAATATGCAATTTTGTGAAAATATTGTTTTCTTGGTTTATGGACTTAATAACAATCATATACATCTTTTATTAAGTCTATATAATCATTTTGTATTGTTTCAAAACATAGTTAAGCTAAAATGTCAAAACTCATATGTTCACATTTTTATGTTTCAGACTATTTTGCAAAATAATGATATTTCTCATTTGGGAGGTCCTTTTTAAAAACCATTTTTTGTAGCATGTTCATTATCATGTCTATAATTATTTTCCAAAGTTTTATATTTTTTGGAATTTGTTTGATATTTTTAAACAGTGTTTCAAAATCAGAAAATTGTTTACAAAACCTGTTTTTTGTCATATGTCTGTTTGCGGTCGACCGTCACGGTTGACCGCCCTGAGTTCAGAAACTCAGTATGATTTTTGTTGGCTCATGATCGACCGTGGCAGTCGACCATATGCAGTCTAGAGAATTGTGCGGTCGACCGTCTGTTTCCAGAGCCTCATTTTTGCCTTTTTTCTGCTAATGGTCTACCGCCGCGGTCGACCACCGAATAGTCAAATCAGCTTCAACGGCTCTTTTTCTGAGCTGTTTTCGCTTGGGCTTTTTGGTCTTTTGTTTTGGGTTTTTGCTGAAGTTTTGAGTGGGTATAAATACTCCATTGCCTTCAGCTCTTCTAAAAACTAAGAGAATGTTTGAAAAGAGTTTAACAAGGGTTTAAACTTATTTAGTGTTTGTTTAAAAGAGTGTTTAAGAAGCTTTTAAGCAATTGAGAGTTTTGGGTTTGTGAAATCAATTTCACAAGAGCTTGAGAAGATCCTATTGGTGCTTGAGCATAATTGAGAGTTTTGGGTTTGTGAAATCAATTTCACAAGAGCTTGAGAAGATCCTATTGGTGCTTGAGCATTCAACCATCCTCCCTCAATCTCTTGATCTATTGAGAAGTTTTCTAAACTCTATTTTTAGCTTTATATCTATTTGTTTTGATTATCATTTTATTAAAGCTAGTTTTATATTGAGTTTAGAATTGATTAATCTCTTTGTTACACACACCCACATTGAGATTTTCGTATTTACATACATAGTATATTAAGGTTGTGAGAGATTATAACATTGAGTTGTGCTTAATTACGTTCTCGCCTTGTATTAGAGAACAAATCATTTGTTGTTACATTGTTAGTGTTGTAAAGTTTTCGGTGAGCTAGAAAACTGAGTGTGAGGAGTGATCGTTGATCGGTGAGCGTTGAAAACTGACATTGTGAGTGATTGTGAACGTTGATCGGTGAACGTTGAAAACCAACATTGTGAGGTGCAAACGTTATTCGGGTGAGCGTAAAAAACCCGGTTATGATTGTAGATTTCTCCCCGGGAGTGGGGAGAGGAGACGTAGGACGGAAGGTCCGAATTCCGTGATCATATTGTGTGTTTGCATTGTTTAGTTACACTATCACTCTTATCTTGTTTATGTTTATTTTACCCTTGTGTGAGTTTATATATCCTTGCATATATTTTTATCATATAGGATATATCTCATTGTTCATATTGCTTATCCTAGTTTACATATCTTGTTGTATTTCATACTTGTTAGATAACTTGTTAATTAGTTTTAATTAGCATAAAATCGGATTAGATTAGAAATAGACCCTAATCACCCCCTCTAGGGTCTAACAGTATATCCTTGCACATATCTTGTTGCATATCATATTTGCTAGGATATTTGTTAATTAGTTTTAATCGGCATTTAAATCAGATTATATTAGCATAAACTCTATTCACCCCCCTCTAGGGTTCCTTCCTAGTGGTATTAGGGTACTTTTTTCATATATAATATGTTAGCCCGCAAAGTTAAGCTTTTGGGTAAGTGGTTCAGTGGTATTGTGTCAAAGAGCTAATTGGTAAATGGTTTAGGGGTTTAAACTTCAAATTACTCCATGAATATATATTTTTAAACAAATAATCAACGTATTTTCTTACATGTAAGGACGGTTACACATTGCTTGATGATTTTGGTTTATTTGTTCCATACTTGGATCAAAAATTATGAATACAATTTTTTGACTAACATGCAATATGATCACCATAAATCATAAGAGATATATTCTCCATAAAACATGATACAAATTTTTTTGGATTTTACATTATATATTCTCTTATGCAATCTTGATTTTATCTTTACTCTGAATCTAATAGATCAATCAATAGGGTGCTGACAACAACTTATCATCGGCTAGAAATCTTTTTGGAACATGACCAGGAATATTTGTTTGCACTTGGTGACCAGAGGCCCTCACTGTAAAAAAGGTTAGGCCTTCATAGATCTCAATCCAACCAACAACCTGAAATCCAAATTAATTATTTTCATTTCATTATTCATTACTGTAAAAAAATTAAGAAATCAAAATACATATACATTTATGTATGTAAAACTGTTCTGGTCTAATAGCTTTTTAGTAGTACCATGGGGTTCAGTTCTCTGTCATGGAATGTTCAATCCCAATTTCTTTAATGCATTACCGTGTTGATGTCACAAGAATTCTACCATCTTTGTCACCACTGTTAAAAAATAACAAATCAATAAAGTGCTTAATCAATATAAAATTTGACATACTAAATTCTTATATGGCTTTTTTAGCTTTGGGGCTTGCCTGAAGATCCACATGCGAATTCTTTCATAGATGAGTTTCTGAATGAACGAGAGCACAAATTTAGTAGTGTCACTTCATTCACGGTTAACGGATAAAATACAATATTAAGAGGATATCAACCTAGCACACTTTATAATGTTATTGAATCAGAGAATATTTCTTATAAAAAATTTAAGTTTATGTTGAATTTGGCAAGGTTAAAGTACCTGCAGAGGGAATAAGGACGCGACAATTTTGTGACATTGGCATGAAGAGCTTCTTGAACATCTGGGCGCCTGAAATACTTGGTTGTGTAAGTTTGTTGACGTGGATCCTATTGAAAATGATCCTATGAAAGAGGGGAAAAGTACTGAATTAGGACACGTTAGTGCACCAAATCTAATTTGATAAATTTTATGGCCTGTTTGGATGGAGGGTAGAGAAGGGGAAGGGAAGGGAAATTTCATTTTAACCTTGTTTGGGAGTTTCATTTAGGAGGGTAGCGGAGGGAAATGGAAGGGAAATTTGGCCCAAATTCTTACACCCCAAATTGGGGTGTAATGGAGGGGAAGGGAAGGAAGGGGAATTTTTTCCCTTCCTTCCCCTTCCTTCTCTTTCCTAAGTAAACTCCCAAACACACCATTAGAGAACTATCCCGAACTATTAATATAGATGTTTCAAGAAAAATATTAAGTACTTTTATAAGAAAATCTATAACAAACTTATACACCAAAGAAAATTTCATTTTAGAACTTACTACGATAGTCTAGCGACGACGGAGGGGTGTCTCGTTGCGAGCACGAACAGGGGGTGTAAGGCGATCACGGAGTCGGGAGGGGCGATGAGCGTTATGCTGAGGAATGGGATGATGAGGGCACTGGCGGTGAGGTCTGGGATGGCGAAGAGATTGGCGGAGATCAGCGATGCTTTTGGATACGAAGATGAATGAGGTCAGAAGTGTGGGATTTTGGGGATGACGAAGGCGTCGGAGGTAAGGTATTGGACGCGAAGAGATGGGCGCAAGTTTGTTGGGGAGACCGATATTAGGGAAGGAGGACAACCGTTCGAATACGAAAAGAAGGAGGGCCGCCGACGCTTTGGGGAAGGAGGGCAGCAGGTTTTGTTGGGGAAATTGCCAGTGATTTTAGGAAAATCGCCGACGATTTTGGGAAGGAGCCGGCGATTTTTAGGGAAGGAGGGCAGCGTGATTTTGTTGGGAAAGGAGATGGGCAGCAGGATTTGTTGAATAATTAGGAAATTTATCTCCTTTACATCTAAGTCCTTTATGTTTTATAAATTTAACCAGCTTAAAATTCTGTTACTTCTATAAATGAGTGTCAAGCGAATAAGAACTTGACACATGGCGACAGCGTAGGAAATTTCCTACACTGCCAGCTCACCTCCCGTTTTATATATATAGACTGCCAGACAGAAATATACCACACTTAATTATCCATCATAATATTATCTGCGTCAACTGTAACTACTCTCCAAATCACAACATCTCGTATTATTGTTCTACAGCCACAAGCTCCTAAAACATCAACGAACCTGAACACAACCACACACCTTGATCGCTTATTATTATCACAAACTACAAAAAGATCATTGACCAAAACACAACCTCACTTTTTGATATTCGGCCACGGCGGGGGCTTCTACCACTCCGCCGAGACAACACAGCATCCACCATCCCTTGATGTGGGGTCGGGAGGCAATCGGCTCCACCATCGACATTGTCAATCAGCAATGTTGAGATAACATGCATGTGGTTAAGATCGCCGGGGGCAAACCTGTCTCCGACAAAGTACTTGCTCTTCGAGAGATGGGCCTCGTAGATGTCTAGGAGTTTGCCAAGGTCTAGGGAGAGAGATTCTACAGTGGCGGTTCCGTAGCGCCCATGTTGTACATAAACGTGATTAAATTATAGAGATTAAACATCAATAAGAGTGAAAGCTATACCTGAATCCATTGCTTAGATCTGAAGTAGGGTTTTGATGATCTTCTAATCTTAGGGTTTCTCCTTATATATCTCTTTAGATGGGGATAACAGAATAGAGAATGTGTTAACCCTAAATTAGGGACCGTAACCCCATATTTATAGGTGTTGTACTTTAATAATTTAGCTTATCATTAAATTATAATTACAACCTGATATCTGCACATTTAGCCCATGATTTATTTAAATACTTATTAACCCAAATTGATTGATCACTTTAAGCGGGTTATCCTTAAGGATAGCAATACACACTGATTAATTATATGTACTCACAAATTAGATTTAATTAAATTTAAATCCAACAATCTCTCACTTGAGCACCATATGATTCCTTAAAATGTATATAACCTTATAAGCTCAAAAATTGCTATTACTAAAAATGGTATTTCTAAACAATCTTGTCCATTGATTATATCTATATAGGATCAAAGCAGCATTCGTCACATTTATCATGACTCGACCCATCAATGGTTACATATACCAATACAGTCAAACGACATAGATCAATCATGGATGTGTAGCATGAAAATTACATGCAATATGATCAGTACATGTCTATTTTTAACTAGTCCTATCTTAAACTTTAGTGAGGTCAACCTCAACATAATATTCCAGAGTGTATGAACTGAATACTTTATTCTGATCAGACAATACAACCTAATGTTTTCGCCAAAAGTTGGTCTTGTTGTCGAATTCATTATATCTTCGGTCGATTACAATAAATTCAAAGAAAACAGCCTTTTTATAAGACTCTTTTACACAACAAAAAGAAAATTACAACTCTTGAGAAAATAAACGCAGGATCGTTGTTTGGATCACTGCTTTCGTGGGATCTTTGCCTGTGCCGGGAGCGCTTTGACTCGTGGACCACCAAATCACAGATTCTGATTGAACCGTGAGGGGTTTATGATTCTGACTTCGTTTATCGAAGTGAGAAATTGAAACGATATCTTATCGATGTAAGATAGTCATTCTTCTTGAAATCAAGTCAAAGCCTGATTATCAAGGATTGACCGTAAGATCAGCACCTCTGCTCTCTCTCTGCTCTGGATTGCTCTCAAGTGCTCAACTTTTGATCTCTGTTGGCAGCCCCTCCCCCCTGTGAAAATAGCCTTCGGGGGGGTATTTATAACCCTCTGGATGAACAATGCTCGCGAGACAGCATTTGCTGTCTCGGCGGGCGAGACAGTGTTTGCTGTCTCGCTGGCCGAGACAGTGTTTGCTGTCTCGCCCAGCGAGACAGTAAATTTGCTGTCTCGCCCAGCGAGACAGTAAAATACTGTCTACATTTCTGGCAGTTTTCGATGTAACTGCTTTCCCACGTTTCAAACTCCGTTATTTTGGCAGTTATCCACGTGATTCTCGCCCACGACGTTTCCCACGTTCTTGAACAGTTAGTTGTTTAAAGGTTTGATCGTTCAATTTGTGGACCTCTCGTTCATGGAACGAATCGAGAGGGGATTTTGGCTTTGGTCCTAACTGTTTAAAGGTTTGACCAAGATGGGAATTTGAGACGATCCTAACTGTTTAAAGGTTTGATCGTTCAATTTGTGGACCTCTCGTTCATGGAACGAATCGAGAGGGGATTTTGGCTTTGGTCCTAACTGTTTAAAGGTTTGACCAAGATGGGAATTTGAGACGATCCTAACTGTTTAAAGGTTTGATCGTTCAATTTGTGGACCTCTCGTTCATGGAACGAATCGAGAGGGGATTTTGGCTTTGGTCCTAACTGTTTAAAGGTTTGACCAAGATGGGAATTTGAGACGATCCTAACTGTTTAAAGGTTTGATCGTTCAATTTGTGGACCTCTCGTTCATGGAACGAATCGAGAGGGGATTTTGGCTTTGGTCCTAACTGTTTAAAGGTTTGACCAAGATGGGAATTTGAGACGATCCTAACTGTTTAAAGGTTTGATCGTTCAATTTGTGGACCTCTCGTTCATGGAACGAATCGAGAGGGGATTTTGGCTTTGGTCCTAACTGTTTAAAGGTTTGACCAAGATGGGAATTTGAGACGATCCTAACTGTTTAAAGGTTTGATCGTTCAATTTGTGGACCTCTCGTTCATGGAACGAATCGAGAGGGGATTTTGGCTTTGGTCCTAACTGTTTAAAGGTTTGACCAAGATGGGAATTTGAGACGATCCTAACTGTTTAAAGGTTTGATCGTTCAATTTGTGGACCTCTCGTTCATGGAACGAATCGAGAGGGGATTTTGGCTTTGGTCCTAACTGTTTAAAGGTTTGACCAAGATGGGAATTTGAGACGATCCTAACTGTTTAAAGGTTTGATCGTTCAATTTGTGGACCTCTCGTTCATGGAACGAATCGAGAGGGGATTTTGGCTTTGGTCCTAACTGTTTAAAGGTTTGACCAAGATGGGAATTTGAGACGATCCTAACTGTTTAAAGGTTTGATCGTTCAATTTGTGGACCTCTCGTTCATGGAACGAATCGAGAGGGGATTTTGGCTTTGGTCCTAACTGTTTAAAGGTTTGACCAAGATGGGAATTTGAGACGATCCTAACTGTTTAAAGGTTTGATCGTTCAATTTGTGGACCTCTCGTTCATGGAACGAATCGAGAGGGGATTTTGGCTTTGGTCCTAACTGTTTAAAGGTTTGACCAAGATGGGAATTTGAGACGATCCTAACTGTTTAAAGGTTTGATCGTTCAATTTGTGGACCTCTCGTTCATGGAACGAATCGAGAGGGGATTTTGGCTTTGGTCCTAACTGTTTAAAGGTTTGACCAAGATGGGAATTTGAGACGATCCTAACTGTTTAAAGGTTTGATCGTTCAATTTGTGGACCTCTCGTTCATGGAACGAATCGAGAGGGGATTTTGGCTTTGGTCCTAACTGTTTAAAGGTTTGACCAAGATGGGAATTTGAGACGATCCTAACTGTTTAAAGGTTTGATCGTTCAATTTGTGGACCTCTCGTTCATGGAACGAATCGAGAGGGGATTTTGGCTTTGGTCCTAACTGTTTAAAGGTTTGACCAAGATGGGAATTTGAGACGATCCTAACTGTTTAAAGGTTTGATCGTTCAATTTGTGGACCTCTCGTTCATGGAACGAATCGAGAGGGGATTTTGGCTTTGGTCCTAACTGTTTAAAGGTTTGACCAAGATGGGAATTTGAGACGATCCTAACTGTTTAAAGGTTTGATCGTTCAATTTGTGGACCTCTCGTTCATGGAACGAATCGAGAGGGGATTTTGGCTTTGGTCCTAACTGTTTAAAGGTTTGACCAAGATGGGAATTTGAGACGATCCTAACTGTTTAAAGGTTTGATCGTTCAATTTGTGGACCTCTCGTTCATGGAACGAATCGAGAGGGGATTTTGGCTTTGGTCCTAACTGTTTAAAGGTTTGACCAAGATGGGAATTTGAGACGATCCTAACTGTTTAAAGGTTTGATCGTTCAATTTGTGGACCTCTCGTTCATGGAACGAATCGAGAGGGGATTTTGGCTTTGGTCCTAACTGTTTAAAGGTTTGACCAAGATGGGAATTTGAGACGATCCTAACTGTTTAAAGGTTTGATCGTTCAATTTGTGGACCTCTCGTTCATGGAACGAATCGAGAGGGGATTTTGGCTTTGGTCCTAACTGTTTAAAGGTTTGACCAAGATGGGAATTTGAGACGATCCTAACTGTTTAAAGGTTTGATCGTTCAATTTGTGGACCTCTCGTTCATGGAACGAATCGAGAGGGGATTTTGGCTTTGGTCCTAACTGTTTAAAGGTTTGACCAAGATGGGAATTTGAGACGATCCTAACTGTTTAAAGGTTTGATCGTTCAATTTGTGGACCTCTCGTTCATGGAACGAATCGAGAGGGGATTTTGGCTTTGGTCCTAACTGTTTAAAGGTTTGACCAAGATGGGAATTTGAGACGATCCTAACTGTTTAAAGGTTTGATCGTTCAATTTGTGGACCTCTCGTTCATGGAACGAATCGAGAGGGGATTTTGGCTTTGGTCCTAACTGTTTAAAGGTTTGACCAAGATGGGAATTTGAGACGATCCTA